CCCCCCCCCCCAGCTCAGGGACCTGCCACCCCCCAACTGCCACTCACCCACTGCCTCTCTGTCCCCTTTAGGGTCCCATGGGTCCCCGGGGACCACCAGGACCTCCTGGAAAACCCGGAGATGACGTGAGTCCTTTGCTGTCCCCGGCAAACCCCGGCTGAGAACGGGCAACTCGTTGCAGCAGTGGCCGTAAAAGGTGGTTTTTACTCCCCTCAAATCTCATTTCCCTGCAGGGTGAGACCGGCAAACCCGGCAAATCTGGCGAGCGTGGCCCCCCCGGCCCCCAGGTGAGTCTGGATCCGGCCCCCCCAGGACGGGGACCCCCGTGTGTCCCACCCAGGGCAGGGACCCCCCCCTGTGTCCCCCCCTTCAGCCCCAACTCTCTTCCTCTCTCAGGGTGCTCGTGGCTTCCCTGGGACCCCCGGGCTCCCCGGAGTGAAGGGCCACCGGGTGAGTGAGTGTCCCCCCCCCTTGGGCCCCCAGTGACCCCCTCACCCGGGGGCACAGAGGGTGATCCCCCCCTTTCCGTGTGCCCAGGGATACCCCGGCTTGGACGGTGCCAAAGGAGAGGCGGGAGCTCCTGGAGCCAAGGTGGGTGTGGGGCGATCACCCCCATGGGGTTGGGGTTGGCCAGGTGACCATCCTGGTGACCACCCCCGTGGTGTTGGGAGTGGCCAGGTGACCGGCCTGGTGACCAGCCAGGTGACCATCCCTGTGGCGTTGGGGCTGGCCAGATGACCGGCCAGGTGACCAGCCAGGTGACCATCCCTGTGGCATCTGGGCTGGCCAGGTGACCATCCTGGTGACCATCCTTGTGGTGTGGGGGCTGATGGAGTGACCATCTCTGTGGCCTCAGGGATGAGGGAGTGACCATCTCAGTGGCTGATGGAGTGACCATCCCTGTGGTGTTGGGGCTGAGGGAGTGACCATCCCAGTGGCTGATGGAGTGACCATCCCAGTGGCTGATGGAATGACCATCCCCTTGGCACTGGGGCTGATGGAGTGACCATCTGCATGGCCTCAGGGTTGATGGAGTGACCATCTCTGTGGCCTCAGAGATGAGGGAATGACCATCCCAGTGGCTGATGGAGTGACCATCCCTGTGGTGTTGGGGCTGATGGAGTGACCATCCCCGTGGCCTCAGGGCCGATGCAGTGCCCACCCCCTCGGTCACCCCCTCGGTCACCCCCTCAGTCACCCCCTTGGTCACCCCCTCTGTCCCTCCCCGCAGGGTGAATCCGGCTCCCCTGGCGAGAACGGCTCCCCCGGCCCCATGGTGAGTCCTCGGGCTGCACGAGAGGGAAACTGAGGCACGAGGGGGTGGAAATTGGGGGTGGGAAGCACAGCCCCCCCCAACCTGACCAGCCCCCGTGTCCCTCCAGGGTCCCCGTGGGCTGCCTGGAGAGAGAGGACGTCCCGGCCCCTCCGGTGCCGCCGTGAGTGTGACGCTGCCCGTGCCCTCGGTGGCACCTCGGTGGCACCCTGGTGACACCCCGATGTCCCCCCCACCGGCAGGGGGGTCCCCCCGCGGTGCCCCCCGTGCCTCACACCCCCACCATCTCCCCCCAGGGCGCTCGTGGCAACGATGGTCTCCCCGGTCCTGCCGGACCCCCTGTAAGTCAAGGGCTGCCCGGGCCCTCCCCGGACCCCGTGTCACCCCACGGGGGGCACAACGGGGTCCCCCAGGCCCCCCCCGAAGCCTGGGCGGACCCTCACACTCCTCTCGCTCCCAGGGACCCGTCGGCCCAGCCGGAGCTCCCGGCTTTCCCGGCGCCCCCGGCTCGAAGGTAACGGGGATGGGGCTGACCCCGGGGATGGGGGGGGAGGAAACTCGGGGCACAGCACCCGCTGTGACCCCTCACCCCCTCATTCCTCCCCCCAGTGACCCCTCACCCCCTCGTTCCTCCCCCCAGTGACCCCTCACCCCCTCATTCCTCCCCCCAGGGTGAAGCTGGTCCCACCGGGGCCCGAGGTCCCGAGGGTGCCCAGGGTCCCCGCGGCGAATCCGGCACCCCCGGCTCCCCCGGCCCCGCCGGCGCCCCCGTAAGTGCCACGTCCCACGTCCCCTCCCTGGTGGCTTCGCCCCGGCGTTGTTCCCTGACCTGGGAACTGTCCCTGGAAGGGGATTCGGGGCAACTGAGGCACGAGGAGCTCAGCGGTGTCTCCTTTTAGGGTAACCCGGGCACCGACGGCATCCCCGGAGCCAAGGGCTCGGCGGTGAGCGGGGTTTGGGGGCTGGGGTGGGGAGGGGGGG